CCAAAGCGGCGGCCATGCTGTCTGCGAAGAGCCCCTCCTGGAGTTTCAGAATATCCTCATGGACGTTGAGGTTCTTCACCCCGCAAAACTGGCCATCTTGTGACGGAAGCCACTGTGCATTGGCTCCTACTCCGCGTGGTGCAGTATATTCATGGCAGTCAGCTGCCAGATGAGGCGCGAATTCCATAACCAGCTTCTTGATATCGCGAGTCTGCTGGCTTGTCATCTTGGTGTGATCCCGGTTAGGGTCGAGATTGCTGGCAAGCTGTCTCTGGAAATAGGCCACGCCGTCGGGGTTGTAGCGCGGGAGAATGAGGATGTCGATGTTCTCAAGAATGGATGCGGCCCATGTCTGGTTCGCATCCATTTTGCCGATCAGAGCTAAAAGACCCTCATCACCCGCGGGCTCATTACCGTGCACACCACCTTGCAACAGTACTCGGATCTTCTGCGTGGAGTTTGTGAAGCTGGAGAAGCTTCCTGGTGAGCGCAGGTCGGTGATAATACTCTCCTGACTTGTGCTTGTTGAGAGATAGACGTAGGGGAGAGTGCGGCCCTCTTCAGACCGAATAGAAGGGTTGTGGTAGGTAATCCAGTCGTTGCGAGCTGCCAGGGTTTGGAGGTAACTCTCCATCTTGTATTGACTGGTAGGCCCACTGGTTCCATTGGCAAAACCACTGGGCACGGTCTCGGGGTCATCGAAAGATGGGGAAAAGACCTCGATTCCAGTGGGTTCTGGGAAATTGGCCGCGACATGAGGCTCATCCTGTGTCAATCCAGCCTGGTTGTTCTGGTAGACAAAAGAGTTTCCCAGATCAACCAAGCTGAGCAGGCTAGCGAATAATAGATTTAACCGAGCCATGGCTTCTTTTTCTCGACTGTTTTCCTGTGGTTTACTAGACAGGCCGAAGGATGGCGGTCTGCGGCGGCGTGGTATTTTATACCCAGCAACGAAGTGGGACAGGTCGATCTCTTCTTGTAGCACTCAACCGTCTCCGACTTCTCACCGATACCGGTGATAAGAATGAGGCCTGAAAGCCATGGTTTTTATCAACAATACACGTCCTGGACTCGTCATTTAAGGTTAATATAGCCCCGGAATGGGGAGACTTTTAGTTGGCGCCGTAGAAAAAGGAAGGTCAAGAGGCGCCAATCCCTGTCACCCCGCTTCTTGATCCTCTTTTTCTCCTCTTTGTTAGTCGTTTTTTATCTCTCTTTAATATGTCTCGCTGAGGGTTGCCATGGCGGTCGGCTATGAAAGGCCTCGAGCAAGGAGTTTGGTCGGAGGTTACCCGAGTGACAGGCTGCCTCCCAGTCCCAGGCCTGCTTAAAGGCTTGCGCCGAGTCATTTTGTCATAGAATGATAATTGGTTAGTCATTCTACTGCTGTCTTACTGCCACTCACCCCAAAATCCCAGACCTGTCTACTGGTTAGACAGACCATCCTGCCTTTTCTAGCTAGCGCTGCCAAGTGCCGCCGTTGCTATGCTTCTTTGCCTCCGTGGGGCCAGTTACAAAAGTCCCGGGACACTATATCAACATCTTATCGTCAGCTACGTAAGCTGCTCATGCTAGCTAACTTCAATCATGAAATATCACCAATTAAAAGTTGAAAGAGTCAGGCTAGATTTGAATAAAATAGCTCAACGCTCCTTCCAGTACAGAATAATTAAAGTAGACACGAGATGTAATAATATGTGGCGGGGGGTGGGTTGATAGAAGTAAGCTTGCGACGGGGTGTCGTCTCCCGGATCACGGGCATCGAGGCTTCTGAGTCGGTAAGCATCCATGGCCTCAATAGAGTTTTCCGTGGGTGAGGCACGAGGTCATGAGGTGGCCTTACTGCAAGTATAAGGTCAAGGTCTGAGCGCGAACCTTCTATTAAGCTTTCGGGACCATCCTTGGTAATTTTCCTCAACCCTGTGTCAACATGGCTATATCCTATCTGGTCTCAAAATGCTTCGTTACAGCTATTTGGGTTGACGTAGACTTTTTCATTAAATCACACATGGGGCGGAGAAGTATTGTAATCTTGTTGTTCAAATGTCCTGCCAGTAAAGCTCTTGCTATTGTGTCTCCCGAAGATGTTAAAGTCCCTGGACCAATAGAATCACCTTTCTTGCTCTTGGATTTGTTAATATCTGAAAAAGAAATGTACTCGTAGTATGATGGCAATGGGACCCAATGGGGGGGATATTTTCGAGGCTGAACAGGAACTGAGATAATATAACATTGCCTCAAAGGATTTAGTCATGACTCTGGATATTCCTTAGTTTCCGAATGTGCTAATCCTCTAGGTATCAGCTAAAACTTATATGCATCATCCATTGACTTCGAACTCTAATTTGACGCTCAAGAGTGCACCCAATTCTGGGAAAACTGGGCGCATAGCCACCGGATTAATAAAGGAAACCAAAATCTTAGTTGTAATCTACACGTTCAACGATGCTCCGAGGCTTAATTTAAATACCAGTTCATTACCAGGAACTATTAGACGTCGCGATGAAAGAAGCCTTTGATATTGCTTGCCAAGCTCAGCTATTAAAACTCCCAATACGTAACCGTTAAATATCTCGAATTTACATTCTAAATCAAGCTTCGAATATTGGTTCTCTGAATCCTATCTTGAAATAAATGGCCCCCGGCTGCTAGTCTCATATAAAAGATAGAATCAGGCCGCTATAGAAATGACAAAGGTTTAGTGCATGAAATTGGCCATTCTTTACACTATAAAAAACAGAGAGTTTTCAGTGGTTGAGGCTTTCACGGGAGGTTTCACACTTGTGCGGACAGTGCACGCAGGAAAGATTCCGTCGGGATATAAATCGATCCCAATTTCCGTAGCCCATCTTTATCGTTATTTATCCCAATATCACACTTGACAAGCAATCCCGGAGATTTTGAAGAATTTGTTTGCTCCCATGCCTAGCAACTGGGTAACAGAAGAAATGAGGCATCACAATGAAGGGCGACCACCTTCGATGACTAGAGTATTAAACGATATGAATTGGCAATATTCACTATATTCCCTCTTTGTGTTTCTTATTAGCACTCAATAATACCAATCCCAGGCTCGAACAAACAAGCAACATAACCCTTGCGTACCCCGAATTCAATGTCACCGCTTGCCTAGGTAGAGAGCGTAGAAACCCAGAGATAACGCTAAAAATAGATCCCTGCTTTTAACCCAAGTCTCGTCAGTATCTCGACAGACAGCAAATTAGCTCCAGTATAAGCAATTTTGTCAAGGTTGTTGCTTACGCTGACTAAACGAAAAATCACACTAATAATCCGCCTTCTTGCAAGAACGGTATTTCGTGTCCTTGTTTCCTCCAAAAACAAGTTCTCAATCGCTGAAAGCAAAATGCAGTGGCTCTGGGGCTCAAAGCCGCCTCATCTAGAGCCCGTCAAGGGTGATGTTGTGTACCCCACTCATTTCATGGATAACAAGGCAATCTTTGACGGTCTGCTTCTGGCTTCGGCATGGCAGTTCAATGATGTTCTTGACGCAGACAAACTCCATGCTTCATTTTGTCGCCTCCTTGAGATTGGCGACTGGAGGAAGTTGGGTGGGCGCTTCAGGCGACCTCCTGGGCAGAGGACGTGGGAGCTGCACGTACCAGCCGAGTTCACCCCGGAACGACCGGCAGTTGTCTATACGCACGAGGTGTTTGATATGAAGGTCCAGGAGCATCCCTTGGCTCGCCAGATCCCCAGACCATCCACCGGAGGCCCTGCATTTCATCCATCTCCAGAGATACTGCGCCCGCTCATGGTTAGGCCAGGTGCTGCCGAGACGATGGAGGAATTTCTCAGCAGAGACGATCCGGCGCTGGCTCTCCATATTGCATCCTTTCAAGATGGCACTCTCGTCAGTCTGACCTGGCCACATAGTCTCATGGACATAATGGGTCTGAAAAGCCTGGTTGAGGCATGGTCCCTTGTCTTGGCAGGACGGGAAGCCGACCTTCCTGTTCTCGCCGGTGCACGTGAGGACATCTTGTATGAGAGTACAAACGTGAATCTTGCCAAGAAAGAGACATCAGTCATTGACCGAGATCGCCTCGATGGGTTTCGCATCATCTTCTTCGCTCTATGTCTCTTGTGGGATATAATCTGGAATCGAGTTGAGGCCCGAATCCTGTATTTGCCGAAGAAGACTGTGGAAAATTTGAGGTCTGAAGCTCTTCTCGAGATCACCGCGGATTCAAAGCCTGATGCAGAAAAGCCGTGGATCAGCGAAAGTGATGCGCTGCTTGCCACTTGGGCCAAGAGTCTGGCTCAATCTCAGTCAAGCCCTCGACCAATCATTGCGATGAACCCCTTCGACATGCGCGGACGAGCTCCTGGGTTCAGCAATTCAGGCCAGGAAGTGTACATCCAAAACGTTGTGACAGAGAGCTTCACAACACTCCCCCCTAGCCTTGCATCTTCTTCCATTGGGAAAATTGCATTGTCATGCAGGAGAGCCTTGCAGGAGCAGATAGCGCCGGCGCAAATACTTGCATTGCTACGGAGCCTACGTCAACTTTGGGATTCTGGCAAGGACGTTCAAATTCTCTCTGGACCGGCTAACGCTACCCTGCTGGTTACGTCCAACTGGGCCAGAGGCAATCTCTTCCGCATTGCTGATTTTGGACCAGCCGTGGTAAAACAGGGGGAAGATGAGAGTGAGAGGACCAACCCAGTGGGGGCGTCTCGTTTCTATGTCACCATTCCGCTCAAGCTCAGCCCGGCAGCGAGAAACTCTATGACCCAACTTGGAAAGGACCATGATGGAAATACTTGGGTAATGGGCATATTCAATGCTCGAACATGGAAGGCTATTAAAACTATGGTTGACGGGTATTCCTAGAAACTGTTCTGGTTTTGTCTTGAGCCTTCGCTTGTTTATAGTTGGTAGCCACACAAAGATCGTAGAGAAACTGTCTAGCCGGACTTGCGTATAACATTTGACCACCCCATACGATAAAGATTTTGCCACTCTATAATTTGAACGTCTACGCATTCTTCTCGAAAATCTTTAGAACCTCGAGATTTCCATACGCCGCAGCCATGTCAAGCGGTGTCTGCTGCGCGTCGTCCTCGAAGCCAGCATCCAACCCACAACCCATCAGCTCCTTGAAAAACTCGGCTTGACCACCTGCAGCAGCGTGCAGAAGTCCCCTCCCCTTGTTGTCTGTGGCGAACAAGTCCACGCCTAGTTATTTGAACATTGGAATGACCTTTGATTGGTATCCGAATCCCAATATCGGATGCGGATGTATTTGTTGGCGGCAGAATGGGAACAACGGGGTTTCTCCCTGCTCATTCCACCCATTCACATCCATTCCCAGTTGTACCATCTGCTCAAACATTTCACGTTCTTCCTCGGTGTAAAGTCCGGCGGCAAGAAGGTGAATAATACTGTTGCCATGTTTGTCGGTAATCAGGTAGTCAGCTCTAGCGGCTATGAGCACTTCAGCGGCTATAGGTTTATCTAGAGAGCCGTGATGAGACGATCTCTCAACGATGCGTAGTATGGACAGGTGCAGAGGGGTGTTCCCAGAATTATCCTTCTGGTTCATGAGGTGGGGTGCCCTTCGGACACTTTGAGTCAGCGAGCTCTGGATCTGGCTCATATTCTTCCATCCACTGATATCATCACGGCCGATCATCAGATGTAGAACGTTCCGTCCCGCCTTGTCCAGAGCTTCCAGATCTGCGCCCATTGACAACAGCTTTTGAAATGTCGTTACAGTCTCCTCTGTGTTATCTTCTTGTTGCTTCCAGGAGAGTATGATATCCGGGCCGCCTGAACAAGCTGCAAGAAGGAGTGTCCAACCCCTGGCATCTCGGCGATGTATGTCGAGCTGCGGAATTTGGAAGAAAGGGTCTATCGCCTTGCCATGATGCAGCAAATCATGCAGCACTGTGGCCTCTCGGAAATTCTCAGGTGCTGTACCGTAAGTTACTGGACTTGGGGTCAAGAAATTGGCAAATGGATCAGCCCCGTGATCGAGCAGTAACTGTACCATTGCGAAAACGGTCTCTGCCTGTCGCAATGTTCCCGGTTCGTCCCTCGCCAACTCGGGCCACTTTCTTCCAGCACAGTGTAGTGGAAATATCTCGTGATCTTCTACTTTTGAGTGATACGGCGACCAATCTACTCGTCCTCCAGAGAAACGGCTCTTCCGTTCGTACGCCAATACAGCTTCAGATGGTGGTTTGCGACGCGTGTTGACACTAATACCGCCAGACAGGAGGACTTTAAGTGTGCGCGCATTTTCACCATGGATTGCCCCAAATATCGATTCTATTTTCACGACCGCTCCACGAGAGATGAGAAACTTACTCATCTCAAAATTGCCTCGAGCGTAAACAAGGCAGTCCGCCCCTGACTCATCCACGGCATTGACATCTGCCCCTGCCTCAATCAGCAGTCGCGCAGCATCCTGCTGGAAGGGCAGATCCCCATATCCCTCAAGCCAGATGTTCGCGATATTCGCCTCCGGCGATCTCATATGGGGTGGGCTGGAGCCAGGCCCGAATCTGCTGGATGGTTTTCTCCGGTTGTGGCAATACTTGGCCTGGATTGTAATCACTGACATCCTCGCGACTTATCACGACAGCATGTTCATCGCCATCATCCACGTCTTCCTTGATGCTGCGTGCCATGATGGAACTAGAGAAAGTAGAGAATGGATATTGTGAGTGATCAGGCCGCCAGATGTGGGTTCATATGGCCTGAGGGGGAAGTTGCAGGAGAAAGAAAGCAACAACTCAAGGCAGTTGGCGGTAATCCAAAAGTACTTGCAAGAGCTGACCAACCCAACGCAGGTCAGCAAACGACACGCCTCCCCACATATGGTTTGCGAATACTCTTTCTCAGTATCTTGAGTGATAAATGCAGTTGATATTTGGTACTTTCAATATGATATTATTGGTTTAGGTACTCATATAACACATTATCAAGAAGCTTACACCAGGGTTGGGTTTCAATCAAGGAGCGATTTAGACGACAAGGAAAGGCAATTCAGTTCGCTGGCTAACAACTGTTCCTAAAATAACACAGATCATTTCAACATAAATAGAGATTCGACAATCGCCTGCTCAATTCTTCCGAGGAGATGAATCATAGTATATCAGCTTGTGCGACTCATCTAAGCACTTCCCCCCCAATTCTATGCATCGCAGGCACGCGTCGAAGTCTGCCTCAAGACACGCGTCGCAATGGTGCCGAGGCTGGTCCCTCATGATTCTCATTAAGCAAATGTCGCAGTGTGCACGCATTCCGCCGCCCTCGTCGTTGCCCTCGCTCTCGGATCCAGCATCGCCGGCGCCCTGCTCGAGATTCTCAAATAGCTCCTGCATGCTGGGAGTGGCCACAGTTGACAGCCACCATCTTAGGCTTTTCCCCAGAAGATCTTCCGCATCCAAGGATGGCTTTGTGGCGTTGAACAAGAGCCGGGCAACGGACTCGTATCCAATCCGAATTGCGATGCCCAGCGGTGTTGATCCATATATGTCTTGCAGGGAGGCCTGGTGGCCTTCTCTCTCAAGGAGAAGCCTGACCACAGCGTGGCGGCCATGGCTGACGGCGAAGCACAGAGGGGACCTCCCAAGCGTGTCCATCGGCGGTTCCTGGCCGTCAGTGGCGTCTGAGAGCTGGCGGACAACGTCGACATGGCCGACGCATATTGCTCGATGGATCACCGAGAAGGAACAGCTTGCTCCCTGCTTCTTCTTGATACTTTGATCTGCTCCTCGCTCCAACAGAAGCCTCACGAGCTCACCATAGCCGCGCCTCGCAGCTATGGCCAATGGAGTCCAGCCATCGTAATCCTCCCAATTGACGTGTGCCCCTTTTTGAAGTAAAATTTCGGCCGTTTCGAGATGACCGTAGTTGGCGGCAGTGATCAGAGGGCTCTCACCCCTGGCATCTAGAAGTTCTATGCTGGCACCAAGCTCAATCAAGAGCTCGAGAGTCTGGGAATAGCCATGCCGGGCTGCCAGAGACAGAGCTGTGAACTCGCCGGGGCTCCCAAGATTGCAGTCCGCTCCGCATTCAACAAGGGCCCTAACGGCCAGTCTTTGGTCATGCCGTACGGCATAGGCGAGGGGGGTCAAGTTATCGTCGCAGGTGAGGTACGGATCTGCCCAGTATGCCATAAGAAGACGAATAATCGCATCGTTGTCGTTTCTGGCGGCAACATGGAGAGGAGTCCAGCCGTCATTATCCAAAACGTCGACCTGAGCTCCTGTCTCGAGAAGAAGCTTGACCACTTCAATCATGTCATCCCTACAAGCGATATGTAGCGGAGTGAAACCATCCTGGTCCTGGCTTGCCGCAAGGTTGGCCCCCCGTTCAAGTAGCAGCTTCACCACATCCAGGCGGCCCGAAGACGCAGCCACACCCAGGGCAGTGTAAGGGCGCTCGGTGTTGCGTGCCAACTCAATATCGGCGCCTGCGTCAAGAAGCACCCGGACGACTTCAAGTTGTCCCCTGCGAGCAGCCGCGTGTAGAACGGTGGAATTGACACCACCGAAACTATCAATGTCCGCTCCCGCGTTCAAAAGCAGTTCGAGAGTTTTGATATTCCCTTTCGCAGCCGCAATTCCGAGTGCTGTCAGACCGTCGGCAGCCACGTCTTCCATATTTGCTCCGTGCCTGAGCAGGAAATCGACCATGTACGGCTCTCTCGACGCTACAAGATGAAGGGCACAATATCCGTTGCTATTTCTAGCAGCCATATTAGCGCCCTGTTCGAGAAAATACTCAGCTATGGCAGGGTTCCCGTATTCAATTGCCAGGTAAAAGGGAGTGCGCAGCTCATCGCCGTCAACGGCTTCAATATTGGCTCCTTTTCCGATCAGCAGATCGGCGATGCTTGGATTTCCATATTTAGCAGCGTGGTGCAACGCCGTCATTCCATCCGTGGTGTCCTCCAAGCCGACTCCTGAGTCAATAAGATATCTCACGATATCCAAACGCCCGGCAGAGACGGCCACGCAGAGAGTTGTGCGGCCGATTTCGTCCTTGGTGTCAAGTTCCCATCCGTGCTTGACCAGTAGTTCAATTATACGGAGATTTCCATGGGATACAGCCCGGACCAGAGGTCGTAGGGGTTCCTCGCTTGAGGTTTCTGCGTCCGCCCCGTGCTCCAGAAGACGAGCCACCATTTCGACGCTTCCCGTATCGATGGCATTGGTCAAGGGGGTCTCGTTGCTGTTGTTAGGCTTCAGGACAGAGGCTCCCGATTTGATCAGAAGGGTAACAAGCCCAGGATCTCCCAGCTTTACTGCCATATGCAGGATCGTCTGTCCACCAGGGTATTCGTCATCCACGGAGGCACCAGCCTCGCACAACAGGCGCATGGTGTCAATGTGCCCAGATAGTGTCGCGGCCTCGATCGCCTTGCCGAGCTCTGGGTCACGCTCATGGACCGAGGCGCCCTCATCCAGGAGCTGCTTGACAATTTCGGTGCGGCCATTGCTTGCCTCCCGCACGAGACGCGATCGTGTGGCGCTCTGTGTGTCGACGTTCTCGTCAGGCAGACACGTGTCCGATCCGCTGGGGTCAAGAGCTGCCACTTGAGAGGGCGGCTGCCCGTCGGCCTGCGGTTCCAAGGGCATGACCTGCTCGACTCGTTCCCTGGGTCCTTGGGCCTGGTTGTCATCAATTGATGGCGGGGTCGAACTCATGGCGGGGAGCCCTGTGTGCGTGGAACCTGGCATCGGGACGTGATGGGCGCGTTCTGCTGAACCTAAAACGTTCTACGCCGGGTCTCTTTCTTTCGCGTTGGGAGGTTTCATGGCTTGCATATGCACCATTCAGGCCAAGGCAAGGCAGTTCGCCTCGAGTGAGCACAACTGTTGGTCGTTGATTGGCGGTTACAGAGGGGCGGCCTTCAGGCATCAGGCAGCAGTTGGACAGACAGCTAAAGTCAGCCGATGCCCGTTACAGTGGCCATGTACGAGTAACCTACCCTATAGCACAGCACAGCCACCAATGCCTCCAGCCACATAGCAAACACAGTTCTGAGGTTGAAGAAGAGCACGTCAATGCATCTCTCATTCCCTAAATAGTTAGTGTTAATTCGTTCATATATCCAAATGGCTGGGACAGGTGCTCGAGGCGAAGGTTGTCAACGAGAATTATTGGTGATTTACGTAGTGGGAGGAATCAGCAAATGAAGTGCATGTGAAGTTCGACACGATAAGATCAACATTATCTTTTCACGTATTGAAACGCTGGATATTTAGATGTAAGATACCCTTGAGATGCCTATATATTTTACAGATTGACGGAAAAGCACCTAACTATATAACTGTCTTATGGTATGTCCCGTCTCCCAACTTCTCAAAGCCCGGCATCAATTGACCATCTGGCCCACTGAACAAGCGGACACAGCTTATTAGGGAGGACAAGCCCACCAATTACGATTGGCCTGGATCCCGACACCCCTGTTTGTCGTTTGGCTCAATCTTCAGCGGTATTCTTGTGAGTCCAAGGTGAGGCCGTTAGTTCATGATCCCCAAGTGTCCCGGCATATACGCGCGCCGTTGCAGCAGCCCCCACAATGTGCTTATGCCTGGCATTGATTGGAGCAGGCAAGATATTTCCGTTCTCTCACACAGCCCATGCTCAGCCCTAAGACGCGACCCTGCTGTGACGACTCCAATCCTCCAGAGGCACAGCCCCGTGCATAATTAGCTCCTTATCCACCTCCTCCTTGCTGCTATACGCCTCTCCCACCCTTATTAAGCGGAGGAGCCGAGCGGGTTGTGGTGCGGCAGCAGGGGGACATCTACCGGGCTCAATGAGCTGGCTTCATTCAAGAGCAGAGCACTCACCGTTTGCACCCATGGTGTGTCTACGGATCCGTCTCTCTATCCATCTCAAACCCACACAGGAGAGACTCACGAGACAATGACATCTAGGGTAGCCTCCCCGTCCTCCTCCAACGCGAGCTCCAAGACATCAGGGAAAACCACGCCGTCGGGTCGCAAGGGCAGCAGAAAGGTGCGGACAGGTTGTCTCACCTGCAAGTAAGTAGCTCGCACAGCGTGGATCGCTCTCGATCGAATCAGGCGCTCGGTAATGAGGAACCATGCTGACTTGGCGCAGGATCCGCAAAGTAAAATGCGACGAGAACAAGCCCAACTGCTTGCGGTGCACCAAGACGGGCAGGAAATGTGACGGCTATGTGACGCCTCTGCCCCGTGCCCAGAACACCAAGCTCCCCAACCTTGCCCCGGAGCTCATGTCTTCAGAGGACTATCACGCCTTTGACTACTACCGCGTCCGCTCATCGGCCGTGCTTGGAGGGATCGTCCGGGACAGCGGCGACGACTTCTGGTCTGGCCTAGTTATCCGCCTCGCCATCACCGAGCCTGCCGTCCGCCACGCCCTGCTTGCTCTGAGCTCTGTCCATGAAAAGGTCATTGCCATTGGGGATAAACCCGAGACTCGCATCCCCAACACTACCTTTGCCTTTGGAGAGTATAGCAAGGCCATCTCTGCCATCTCCAAGTGGAAACCCCCCTCCAACAGCTCCGAGCCGGCTACGATCCCCCTCCTCGTCTGTGTTTTGTTTATCTGCATTGAGTTCCTTATGGACTACGAGGCGGCTGCCCAGGTGCACATCTCACAGGGGAGGAAGATCCTCTCTCAGATCAGCGAAGCGCAGGCCGCAGCATCCTCCCCAGCCGCGGAAATGCTTCGGAACGTGCTCGTCCCCATCTACACCCGCCTGAGCCTCGCCAGCTTCCTCTTCGGCCACCACCCCGCCTCCATCCCGGATTTCTTCCTGGGCGACTGGGGCGTACCGTTCAGCTTCCCCTCGCTCCTCGAGGCGAGGGACGCCCTCTTCGGCCTCCTGAACTGCGGCCTCCAGTTCAGCCACGAGGTCATGCCGCTCGTCTACGACCCGACCATCACCCAGGAGCAGCTCCAGGGCATCGTGTCCCGGCAGCGCGCCATCCTCGCCCGCCTCGCCCAGTGGAGCACCGCCTTCGCCGTCCTCGAGGCGACGCTGGGCTTCAAGACGGCCCTGCAGGACCTGCTGCACATGTACTACCACACGGCGCACATCTGGATCTCCGCCACGCTGGGCCCCAACGAGCTCGTCTACGACGACCACCTCGCCGGGTTCGGCGCCATCGTCTCCCACGGCGCGTCGGGCATCGCGGCCGCGCCCTCCCTCAGGGGCCAGGACGCGGCGGCGTTCGTGTTCGAGACGGAGTTCGTGGCGCCGCTGTACTGGGTCGCGATGAAGTGCCGGCACCCGATGCTGCGGCGGGCGGCGATCCGGCTGCTGGGGAGGAGGGAGGTGGTGAGCCGGAGGGAGAACTTCTGGCGCGCGAGGGAGTACCTGGGCGTCGCCGTGAAGACGATGGAGATGGAGGAGGCGCACATTGCCAGCAGTCCCAGGGCGGCTGACGTGTGGGATGATGGGGCCGTGGATTTGAAGGTGCCGGTGTGGGAGCCGCCGACCTTCAGGGTGAGGGAGACGCCGAGCATGGCGAATCTGTCGATAAACGAGGACGGGCCGCGGGTTCCGCCTGTTGGTCGGCTTGAGTCGCCTGATGGGTCGGAGTCGTCGGCGTCTTCGGTCGTTGCGGGTGGGATGGAGATGATGGAGGAGTTGAGCAGCTTGGACCCGGACAGGCTGGTGGCGCCGTTCCGGATACCGGCCGAGCGTCGGTTGCGGAACGTGCTGGTCATGGAGAGGACTACTGGCGGGGCTCGAGTCACGGTGTTCAAGGATCCCGGGTTGGGGGAGACGGAGTGGAAGGTCAAGAAGTTTTTCTGGGAGTTCTAGAGTTCTGGCATGGGAGTTATCACATGGAACGGCAAGCATAAATAAGATACCCTGTTCATCTATTCTTCATTTGTGTGTGTTTCGCTTTGAATTTCTATGTTATGTTCGAGTCTCATCCCGATCCTCATATACAAGTAAAGAAAACTATGTTAACGAAAGGAAGCCATCACGTAGTACCAAGGGGATAAGCCTGGGGGTGGGGGAGGGGATGGGGCAAGGGGAATGAGGGGTTCAGATGGTGCGAGCTGCCGATGGATGTGAACGTTGGCGCATCGTGCTGGCATATTGATGGCCATGTATTAATCTGCTCGGGGCGGCAGCACTCACCAACGATGGAAGAATTCGAGTCAGGTTGGTGATGCGCTGCGCTGCTCAAACGCAGGCAGCCATCTCTCGGTCCGGACACCCAATGCACTTGGGTTATTCTAGTGAAGGTCTTGAAGACCTGATATCGAATTATGTATGATGAGGGGCTCTGGGGCCGAGTCCCCAAGAAATCTCGAGCTGGTCTCGTATCATGATGACTTGGTGCATTATATTTGTTTTGTTGAGGGTATCGCATTGAACCTTCAACCTCTGGCTGCTTCGCTTTTCCCCGATAAAATGCCTGCAGCCAGCTTTCGTCGCTTGTTACGCTCCTCTTGCTCGGCCAGCACTTTGGCGGTAAGCGACGCGGCCATTGGGTTGTTGATGATGCTAATCCGGGATTCGATCGTGTTTTTCTTCCTCTCAGGAATGCCGTTGCTGCTTTGTTTGCGACCAATCTGCTCCCTGGACTTCTCGACAGTGCTCTCGGCGTCGACTTCGTCGGCCTTGCGCTTCTTCTTCTTCTTGTCGGATTTGTCCTTTTTCAGTGTATGAGTGTGGCCGGTGGCACGCAACTTCTCGATCCTCTGTTCCAAGCGCGAGACCTCCACCGGCGCAATGGGCAGGATGGGGATGACGTGTTCGTGGCTGAACACCTCGGCACACGAGGGGCACATGTTGTCGGGGATTTCCTTGATTGCGACATCGGCAAAGGTATGGCCGCAAGGGACAAGATAGACGGCCTTGGTAGCAGGCCCCATCTCCTTCATGGAGATGGGGCATGTCCACTTGTCGCCGGTCTTGGAGAACTTTAGTTTTGCAACATCTCGAAGCGATCGGATGCCCAGTGTGGCGGGTGTGACTTCGGCGGGGGAGGGTTCGTCGGAGGGCATCAGGCCCTTGAGGATGGATTCATAGTTGAACAGGCGGCCGCGCCAGTCAGAGGCAACAGAGGCGAGGTCGATCTGGTCGCCGGAGAGGGCGCAATGTGACCACGCGTGGCCGAGGGACTCGAGGGCGGTGGACTTAAGCTCGGAGATAGTTGGCGCTCGTGCAGCGTTCTTGACGAGTTCCCGCCTCTTGGGGATGGAGCCACCATCGTTACCCATGGTGGCAGGCTGCGAGGGGTTGTTGGCAGAGGTGCAATCGGGGGGGAGGCAGAAGAGGATGAGAGGGAAAAAGGAGAGTCGGACAAAGGGGAGAGAGGAGAAACAAGTTGGTGTGCGCACCTGTTTTGTCGGTGGGAGGTGAATCAGGTGTTCGCTTAAGAGAAGCGCCTGTAAATCGGGTGACTTTTTGCTCTTTGAGCGAACCCTCACCTCAGCCTGCGATACCCGATAAGAGTAAAGAACTGCGCCTGCACGTGCCACGCCACATTTGATGGGGCATTGGAGCGCTCTCATCGTGCACATTGGGGCGCCCATCTGACGGATCGGGCCCCACAGGTTACCGCAGGCCAGTGCTGTGGCTCCCACTGGCAAACCACTCCAGCACAGGTAAATAGCGTCAAGCACCTCTGGGCAGGGGGGGGCTGTGATGAAACTGTAACACTGCGCTGCGACTGTATTTCCT